TGAGGTATTTGGTTACAGTTGAACTAATCGATGTAACTTTCATTCATTTAATATCTGAATTTCTCAAACAATCTGTTCGTAGTGAAAGGGCGAGCTAAGTTTTAATTTCAGTTTTACGACAAATATACACTCTCGGTGAGTCTTTCTAAGTCCATTCAATTTGGACATTTGAACCGCAAATTGCACAACAGAAACTGAATGAATTCAACGATGAACGAGAAAAGGCCGCATTAAATCCCCTTGTGTCTCGTTGGAGTGTCTCACTCGAATTTAGTTTTTGTGGAGGAAAGACCAGATTTACACACGCCATTGCAGCAAACAAACGAGCAAACTCTCAAAACTTCAAAATTACTTTCCTCGCCGTTTACTTCATGAACAAAGGTAAATCTTCGTACATAAATGAATCGTCGATGAGAGTGAATAATACTTTCCGTTAGATCAATGACTGATTTTGAAGAAAACAATGTCGTGACAGTCCTTACCAAACTAGTTTGGCAAGGACTGTTGTTTCTAAGAGTATACATGCGATTTATTTTTTTTACGCGCTCTCTAATTGACAGGTGTCAGATTGTGACAGATACTTGTAAAAATAATGTTTCAAAGTTTGTATGGAAACCTTTAAATCACCTTTATCATTACGCAAATAAGAATGTTTTGGTGAAGCGTCTCTTTAAGTTACATTACCTCTATTTTAACTACCATTTATTCGCTCAAAAATTGTTCAATTTATGGAAGATCTTGCCGTATTTACAGCGTTAAGTAAAATTTCCGCACAGCCCCATACTAAATTATGCATTCAGTTCTTGACTAGAGAAAACAATGACAAAAACAATACATTTCCATCGGGAAAACAGAGTTTTACAATAGTATGGGGCTGTGCGGAAACTTTACCCATCCCTAAATCATGCGGGTTCTTTCGAAAAGAATTTCGTTAAGTTAAAAAAAAAAAAAAATTTTTTTTTTACTGGCTAAGGGTCAGTCCGTATAGTGAAAAACTGTGACCCCGGTCTTAAAAAGGCTGCCCGAGGCCTAGGACCAGCAAATGTGTATTGTTCCATTTGGGAAAAGTGAGCTGATTACTTTCTACATTGATTTTCACCTTTTACTTACAGAATGTTTAATTGATTGAGTTTAGCAAACACGTTATCAGGTAATGACTGCAACTTGTTGAACGACAAATCACTGTGGAAAGACGAGAAAACTGAATAAAGTTGTCGTCAAGAAAACAGACGCTGAAATCCTTAAGGGAGACGAATTTAATTCTTTACACCCTGACATTATACTGCTCTCTACACATTTCCTAGGGTGCTAACAAGGATAATTTGTTTAACAATTAATACCTTCTTCAGTTGCTGATCAATTTCTTTATTCTCATGACCTTGATGTTTGATTCTGGGCTGATATCGTGGAGAGAAATTATTTGCTGGTCAGTGTTAGGAGTTAATGGGATAAAAGAAGAACCATCCTCAATTAAGGTAAATGACTCAAAGATCAAACCCATATTTTCTGTACATCAAGAGCTGTTTCTTTTTTGTTTAACGCTATTCAAAGACAGTCACGGCTCCATCATGGTTGTTTTTATCGCGAAACTTCTTTTCATACTGTTGTTGTGTATTGTGTTCACGCGTTACTTGTGAATGTTTGTAGGTTTAATTTTTGTATTGTGTACTCGTGATTGACGTCTGTACCGTTGCGTAATGTTATGTAATTATGTTAGGTAATTTGTCAGGTTTTAAGGAGCAGCGTCCTCGTTTTCGTTTTTTTCTGGTAAAGCTATACACCGTTAAGTTAAATATTTTTCTTTATTGTTAACTTTTTGTTAGTTTTCGTTCTCTAATCTGTATTTTCCTGCTCATGTTTAGTACCGTAAGCAAGAGAACGTTTCTAAATAAATACTGAAAGCAATTACGCGTGACTTCGTTTACAGTTGTAATTTCAGTTACTCACATGTTTCCGCTCACGTTTGTATCCTGAAACATGTTTGGTGGAAGGTGATCAATTTTATTGTTGTCCAACAATCTACAAGAGAAAAAACATTTTTCAAACGTTAGTAGAGCTGTAGCAAACTTTATTATAACCCAAGGCATCCAGAGGAAAAAAAAGCTGGTTTCTCGGCAAATAACCTAAAATTAAACATTCAGTTTAATATAGATCAAATACTTACAGTTCGTACATTTGTCCAATTCCAGATGTAACAGTTCTCGATAAATCTGTGATTCGATTGTGCTGTAGTTTTCTGAGACGAATGTAAGAGTCTAAGCAAGTGAAGTTCGAATTGCTGATGCTGATCGAGGGAATATATCCTCCTGCGCTGATATAAATTTTGGTTGTATAAGATCATAAAAAAACTTACCCATATGGTGGCCACACCCATGCACTACAGGCTACAAGTTCAGTTGTCTCACTCATTTTTTTTTTCAATTTTTATTTTAGATATATCGATGGAGTGATTAACCGATAGATTGATCCAAGTGTTTTGTGTAAACTTTATTATATATAGATATATAGTAGGTGCCAGAATTTCCCCTGTTTCGAAAACAACTATCCTTGCCACTTTTATTGAAGAAATCATTAACAAAAATGACGTCATGTTAACCGGATTTAACAGGATTGCGGATTTACTTCTTACGTGGGTTTCTTTTTTAGTTTGTGAACATGGATGAAGGTTAAATTCTAATGTTTTGTGGGAGGAAGGAATTTTTTAGGAGTAGGATTTTTCATTTTTTGTCGGATTTGAAATAACAAGTTGGAGTTTCAGTACTTTTAAATGTGTTTTGAAGCTGTCTTTTATTTAAACGTTACATGTTTGCTCGTGGAGACGAGTTCATCTCGAGTTAACTATATCGCTAACACGTTCACCTTGCTGCTCGAAAGGAATGCATAAGATAAGATTTGTTTCGACGCGTGACACCAAAAAAAGTGCTATGTGTAAAAAAGGTATTATAGCTACTTACAGTAGATTAATAGAGTAAGGACCTGTCAGATCTGGTACAGATGTCAGCTTATTGTTGTCCATATAGCTATATGATCCAGCAACCGATCAAAAAAAAATAAAGAAGTTTTTATGAGCTTTGATCAATACACAAACGTTTCCTCTTTCTCTTTGTCTTTCAGTGATTTTGTCTTTGTCAATTTCTTTTCATTTGTTTTTCTATCGTAACTCGTAATTAATCAAGGGTAGTAGCAGTCACAATCGCATATGTGTTATCTGAAATAAAATTGGCGTGTTGCAACGAGAGACCATCTTTTATGCTATACTACAAAATCGTTCTTTATTTGCGCCAATTTAAATCTGTTCCTTGACGAAATCTTTGCAGTTTTACCTGTTTTATGTAAGTTTTTTTAAATCACTTACCATCTTTCGAGATGTTTAAATTTTTTGAAAATACCATCACCTATTGTCTCTATCTCGTTTCCTTGAAGGAACCTATGAGCAGGTATAAAGAAGATTGAGATATCTTCTGGGAGACATACAAGGGTGGGGGAGGGCATTTAAATTGTTTTACATATTTACGTATGGTAGGTACAACATTTCAATAAAAAGGGAAAATAAAGTACGCAAACTATAAGAGGTGCTGCCCGTGGTCTGGACCCTAAGTACACCAAGGATTTCCATTGTCCACAAAATATCCGAGGTCTGTTAAGTTATTCCTTTCAAACTTGCCCTATCCAGTTTGAGAAAAGAACAGTAATGCACAACCAATGTACTTACAAATAGTTGAGCTGATCAGTAAGTCCTTCCATTGTACCCTGGTGTATACGAGTCAGCTTATTGGAAGACAGACCGCTGAAAATGGACAAATTTCAAACAATAATGTGATGCTGCCTATTCCAGGTTGATCTCACCGCAGATAAACCTGTCTGTAATGTTCCGAGGTCAAGGATGTCACAAGTTAAGTGTTCCTTGCGCATTTATTACCAATTTATGAACATGGCAATCTGTAAAGCTTTTTGGTCATTTCTTATATGCGGAAAGGAAATTTATGAGCTTTTTAGACACACCATCTCCAAGCACACCATCTCCAAGACATGCCTAGTGATATGCATAATGAATATCTTAGAAAAACGTGAAAAAAATGATAAATACTACTCACAGCACTTGTAGGTGTCGCATTGCTCGAAAAGTACCATTGACGATGTTTTCCAAGTGGCAAGCGGTCATGGAACTGCAAAAATAATATGAAAAAGTCAGTGTGGTAGAGAAGTTTAATGAGGAATGGTATTCAAATATTGAAAGGGTGGCACTGGCTGATTGAAGAATGCACTCTTAAAAAATATCGGAGTAATCGTAATTAGACAGTTAGAGCGGAACATTCCTTTATAATTTTTCAATACACTTCTTTGTCGGGCTAAAACTAACTGTTCCTAACTTGTTAAACTTAACAACCGGGCTAGTTTTCTCGGAGATGGCTTCAGGTAATACTTAGCAAATGCTTCGAGTTTTCAGCGGAAACGATTATTCCTATTTATAATTTTTATAGCAACAAAGGTTGGTTATGTAGTAATTAATCGCGTTTATAAATATAGCAATATAAGATATGGTCATTTTTAAAGTGAATGCAACATTTCTACGAATACTCCTTTTCAACAGCTGCTATTGGGGCCGACACTCAACTCGCACAGTCTTTCGAAGTCCTTCAGAACACCTGCTCGTCGGCGAAAACCGCTCGATTTGATAAAGAAAAAATAACTCCGGGTAGGGAGCGATTTAGGGGCGATTCAGATAAGACTCCACCAAGCCGAGATTCCAGAAGTCAGGAAGGGAACGATGAAAAATTACAACAGCAGGATTGCCACATTACAGTATACCACAGCGAATCATAGCAGAGTATAATGCTTCATGAGGTAACCATCGACCTAGGCGTCTGATTTTAAATATGCACAGCTGAAACGCCAGAATTTACTTCGAATGTCACCACATCGCGAGACAAACGTCCAGTATGATACTTCTTATTAGCTGGTGATCTGAGGAGCCACTGGACTTACAGATATGTCATACTTTCAAACTCAGCGAAGATATCTGATGGCAAGGATGGTCCAAGCGGATTTCCACTAAGGTCTCTGTAAAAGTAAACCGTTTGAAATGAGTTGCAACTATCTGCTGATAAATATAGGCCGATATTAGGTGTGAAATTGTAATTCCTTATAAACTGTGATGAACTACCAATGCGAAGTGTGATGAACGAGTATTTAGCGAATATCTCCAACGATTATATGCTTAAAGCATTCGAAAATAATTTTTTTGATTTTTAAATCAGCTTAAAACATGACACTTACAGTTTGTGAAGCCGTGTTAATCCTTTAAGGATGAACTTCACATCAGCAATTGATAGTAGGTTGTCACTGATTTCCCTAAACAAATGCAATGTCTAAAATCAACTTATAAGTGTTAGAGAGTGGACTAAAATAATTCACGCAGCCTCATTTATACCACGCTGTTTCATGCATCTATATATGTATCCACCTTTTTTTTTTAAAATAGGACAACGGAAAGGAAACTAAAAACCAATGTAGGCAGCTCATCATCCTTTTATTCATAATGTTTGGAGAATAGAAGCTTTAAGCAATATCTTAGAAGTAAACCTAGATGTACTTTAATTCTGTGGCAAACAGCTTTGAGAAGCACTTCATAACATATAACTTACAGATGATAAACGTTTTCTGGAAGGTAAAAACTCCCTGAAATTGAGTTCTTTGAAAGATATCTGAGAAGAAACGATAACAAGTGTCATGAAATGAAGGCAGGAAAAATCAAAGTTGTTTATCATAACAAAGCTAACGAAGATCTACACGGGTAGTGATTTTCATCAGCCTAACGAGACGACAATGAAGAAAAGAATGGGAAATGCTTTTCCACTCGTTTTCTTTCCAACCACATTTTTCAAATTGTATAAATTAAATCATTGGGAATTCCCTTACATTATTTTTAGTTTCTCCATATTGCAGAAAGTGTTTTGAGGAATGTGTCGCAGTGAATTATTTGATAAGTCCCTAGAAAAAGAGAGAGAATTCATTAAAAAAAAAAAAAAATTATTGATTCTCGAAAAACTGGCAAAAATTTTCCAAAAAAGACAAACGTTCCCCTTACATAAGATTACTTGCCCTTTTTTGTTTTCTTCATCATTCGGAAGGACGATATTGGTATCCTAATGATCGAAATCTACCAGTTCATAGATAGTAAGTCAGCTATTGAACCATCAATGAATACTCAGATATAACTTGTAATCAGATGGTTAACTATTTGATTTGTTCGCGTTTGTAGATGGTTCGGGAAATCTCAAGACCATTTTCAGACTTGTTCACAACCTTGATAAATTTTTCTTCTGAATATTTCAAATAGATGCAGTGTGTTGACCGCTGTTTCCTTTAGTTTAAAGAGGTTTTCCTGGACTGTGCGAATTGTCTCATCAGTCATCAGACTATCCTCACATACAGACATAATAGGATTAGCTACTAAAGACACATCTTTTCGATCCAATACGAATTTCTCATGAACGAAATTTACAGTTTTTTTTATTTGCAACTTACAATTTCTCTAAAACGGTCAGGTTCTTAAAGATGTCTTCTGAAATTGAGCTCAACGAACAACTTGAAAGATCTCTGGGTAAAAATCAAACTGTAAGTAAAAATGGTAATGAACATAAATTTGAATTCTAGAGGAGGTAAGGTTCGAGAGGAATAAATCAGCATTATCTAAATTAAAAGTATTTTAATTTAAATTGAGGTTTTGCAGTCTGTATGACTTTTCTCATGATTAATTTCAAATCATGCGTGTGGTTTTCCTTTTTCCTTTTTCGTTTGGACAGGAATAACAGTGAGGGGAAAACACGCTTGAAACGGCAAAAATGGCCAGAAACCACAGCGAACTCACAGGATGTGAGTAAGTTTTATTGATTTTACGTGTAAAATGTTCATATTTCGAAATATTTATCGTTGTAAATCGACCATATTTCGTACCCCATGTTATTCCTTATAACGTGTTCAAATCCTTAACAATTCCTCTCGTAAATTAACACCGAGTCAGACAATAAGTGATGCTTTCATGAATCAATCGTTTGCTTTTTCTCGAGACGTGAGCTTGGTCCACCTGTGGTTCGTTCGGAAATCATCTTTTCTTTTTGTTTTTGTCTTGGGACTGACCAAGACTCCTTAACAAGTCTGCAATATTTAAAACTACCTTCGTCCAAGTCTGCAATATTGAAAGCTACCATCGTCCAGGATGTGTCTAACAACTATTACCTATGTAACAAATATGAACACAAAGGAGACGATAACAGGCCCCGCAGGACGAAGGATGGCTAAGTTTCTTTTATTATCACTTACAGTTCTGTTGTATTGCTTGGGATTCCGGCCGATACGTATCCATGAACTCGACATATTACCTTCACCACGGCGTGAGTCCTACCGAACTTCGTACATTGACAGATTTTTTGGCTGCAAACGTCACTTTCACAAGCTGTTACAAACCCCAAGACCAAGATGACTTGTATCACACCTGTAAACATCGTTACCGTGGCAAGAGCAATTTGCTCGAAACGCAAATTGTAATATTCTGATTTCAAGATAACTAACAAACAAAGACTTATTCAAAACCGTTATCTGTCGCTCAAAAGCAACGTAGCTTACTTTGCGTGCCTACTAAATATCAGTTAAGCATTCTCACTATGAGCTTGAAACACAAATTTAGCCGCTGACAAAGGCACATAAATCAACGGAAACAAGAAGTTTCGAACCTCTGAAACATAAATATTAATTATGAGTACGCGTTAATGCATAATATTTAAAAACAGTCACTGGTTTCGATCTGCTAATTACAAAAGTTCATAAACGCTAAGGAACCTCAAAGTATAAAATGAGATAAGGAAATAAGAAGACAATACAGATATGGCCATATTAAACTGGTTATGCACTCTGCCTTTAGAGTAATCATTAAATTTATTTCTTGCTCGGGAACAAGTTACGAAACGAAAGGCCAGAAGAAGTTTCGAAATTCTGAAGCATTAATATTATTAATTAATATTAATATTATGAACACGCGTTAGTGCATATTATCAAGTACTCTCAAATTCGATTTTTCTCAACACCGCACATGCTATGGAAGATACACGAGGTGTCTTGATTCAAGACTAGCAAAAATAATTTATACAGATTAGAAACATCAGCTCTATTTTTTTTTACACTTCTTTAGCACTGCTCACAGCACTGGTTGGTGAAAGATTACTTCCTGTTTATGACTTCGTCACTGGTCGCTGCCCTTACTTCGGTTAGGTTTATGTCACAATAGTTTCGAGCCCTTGACAATTGGTACTTGAACCGACGATATATTCTCCTCATTACGATCGGTGATAAGGAAGATTCGAAGCAAAGTCAACAAATGCCAGCGGAAAATTTCAACCGTTAGTGGAATATTACGTTTTCAAAACATTTGAGGCAATTTGCACCCAGAATTGAAAGTCCATCCCTCTCGGTAAGTTACGAATCTTGTCAATATAATATAATGCTAACGATATTTGCCAAGGTTTGGTTATAGATGCATGCACGTAGGCTTCTTTCCCATAAGAATCTTTTTTATTAAAAAAAATCATAATCAGGCTGAGATTAGCAAAAACTTTGAGAACATGCTCAGAACATACCCAGGCTAACAATCAGGGAAGAACGTCTTTTATTTGCTCATTTTGGTTTTTTGTATTTAATAGAGTATACAAGGCATGCCCTGCTTCCTTCTTACTACTTCATTCGGTCGA